TTGGTGACCTTTCACAAAAGCGGATTGAGTCGGGCTAATGAGAGAACCCACTACTTGTTTCAATCTATTTGCTAAGGTCTTTGCCAGAATTTTGTACATGCTCCCTATTAATGATATTGGTCGAAAGTCGTTTAGAGATTCTGCACAGTGTTTCTTTACCACCAAAGCTATAAAAGAGCTATTGATCCCTTTCGTGAACTTTTCTGTGTTGAAGAACTCTTGGAAAAACTCCATGATTTCCAACTTGAAGAGACTCCACTTTTTTTTCATAAAATACATGTTAAAGCCATTTGGACCTTGAGCTTTATCACCATCATAAGACATAATTGCATCCAGCACTTCCTTTTTTTGAAAAGGGGACTTTTGATTGAAGGGCTTCACTAGGGGTGAGCACATTTGGAAATGCCTTTGAGAATATAAGAGATGGGCCTTGATCTTTTCTGAAGTGCTGTGAGAAGTGCTTTTCCACTGCATTTCTAATTTCCTTAGGGTCATTAAGTTGCCTACCATTGAAAGATAGGTGGCCAATAAAGTTATTTCTCCAGCTATTACTCGCAATACGATAGAAGAACTTTGTGTTTCTGTCCCCTTCCTATAGCCATTTCAATCTTGCCTTTTCTCTCCATGTTTGTTCTTCTATAGCTTGGGTGTGCTGTGGTTCCTTCCTCTTTGCATTGATTATAGTACTAACTTCAACATTGAAGGGATCGACCTCATGTTTTTTCTCCAGGCTGCTAATCTCACTATTTAAGAATTCTATGGATTCCATCATGCCACCTTTTACATAGCCTTTCGAAGATTGAATGTCCTGCTTTAAACGCTTCAGTTTTTGGTCAAGCCTAAAACCTGCGAAAGCTTACACCTTGTAACTGTTCCATTTTTCATCCAACAGCATGTTAAATTCGCCATTTTGTAGCCAATAGTTGAAGAGTTTGAAGGGCTTTGATCCCCAGTCCATAACATCGATGCCCAGGCAAATGGCTATATGGTCCAAAAAAGAACCATCTAAGCTTCATTGATTAACTGATGAAAAAAAAAGAAAACCAGTTTGTGGATAAAAGGAATCTGTCAAAACAACTCATTGCTGGAGAGTCATTCCTTCTGTACCAAGCATATTTTCTCCCTATTAGTTGCAGATCAACAAGCTCTGAACCTTAGACAAAGATACTGAAGTCATTAATGGATCTGAAGCAGTTTGAAGCCCCAACTTTTTCTTCTTTACTTAAGACCGAGTTGAAATCACCTGCAAAGAACCGAATTCATCATCAGTAGTTATCGACTATGCATCTTCCTCAAAGAAAAACTTTCTCTCATTGACATCATTAGGGGCATAAACATTAATAAGATTAAAAATTCCAAACAATCCCGAAAAGTTCCTTTCAACCAAATGTATCTTTCTTGAATCATAAAGGATATGAGTTGAAATTGAGCTTTACTCCACATACTGATTAAGCCCCCTGCAAGGCCACGTGAGTCACTGTGTTTGAAATTTATGTCATTTCCCCTCCAGAGCTTATGAATGATTTTGTCCGATACCCCTTGGAATTTCGATTCTTGGATGAAAACTAAAGAAGGTTTTTCCTTATAAATCAATTTTTTAAAGGCCCTCCTTTTTTTGATTTTTCAATTCCTCTAATATTTATTGAAATTAAATTCATTAAAACTAAAAGAACCCCATAAAGGAAGAGAAAGCATGAAATTTTTAAGGGTTACCTTCTTTTGCATCATCGTCCTTCTCCATAGCCATAAGCTTTTCAATTATATCCTCATCGTTCATTTCTCCAGTTAATCCAAGGAGCTTACCAACTTCTAATGTCTTCTTGGCCTCAATTCGTAGGATTCTGTTTCTACTCTTGAGGTCCTCATCTGAAATGAAGGCTTCCTCTAACATTTGTAGCTTTAGAAGGTCAGCTTTATTTTATGATTGGAGTTTCTCCTTTTTACTTTTTTTCCCAGCTATTTTCTCTTATTTATTGGAACCTTTTTGTTAATATTAGAATCAAGCACTAGCATCGATTTCCTACTTCTCCCAGCATTTTTTTTTTCTTGGTTGAGCCTTCATTTAACATTTTTCTTTCCTCCGTAGGGGCCATACTGGTTATTGTAGCCTTTTTGTTTACTACACTTCCATCAACCGTAAACATTTCTTCAGAGCATAGGGCCATGTTGAGCCCAAAATTCTCTTCCTCGTCATTAATGGGTCTTTCCTTGTTGAACTGCTCATCTTTACAATCATGTGGATTTGGGCTAATTTGCTCTTCCACCCTTTCTTCCATAGGCCAACCATATTTTCCCAATTCAAAAACCTCAAATTCCTTCACTTGAATAAACTTGTTTTCTGTTGAGTGCAGCTTCAGATTATCTGTTATCATATAACCCACATCATCAATGTCGCCTTGAGAATGTCGTAAATTTGAAAAGGACGACTTGCATATTGTTGTTCCAGCTATCGTATTCATTCTCGAGGGAATACTAGTTTTCGTTTTACTTCCATCTTCCCGCGTGCATGTGAGATCTTCTTTTTCCTCTCTGTATTCGCCATCGATACTTGGGTTAACCTCATTGGGAGAACTTTCACTGGACATGGATGGGATGGATTTTTCCTTTGTAGTCTTCTTCATACTAGAATTCCATGAACAGTCAGGCTCTTTTTTGATAGAACATCGGATATTGTATTGGATCCCTTTTAACTCAACATGTATTGAACTGGATGGTGAAGCGTCTTTGTTCATAAGAGATAGAACTCTTGCTATATCCCAACGTTTTTTTGAACATTGTACTATCATCAACTAATATAAAACTTCCCCAAAGATCACCAATTTTTTTGAAGAAACTATGAGACCAACCATGAAAGGGGATATTTTCTAACTTCAACCACACAAACTTATTGTTGCTAATGAGACCAGTAGTCCATAGGACTATCCAAAAGAACCATTCGCTAAGCCATGTTTTCCCTTTTTGCGGCATACCGATCATTTTTTCTTTAGATTCAAATGTTAATAGCACCAAACTTCCCCCTATCATCGTAACTAAAAGGTAGAAACACCTTGACTTAAAATATGTTGTTGAAGCATGTGGATGGATTGAGGATTCTTGACCTCTACTACAGCACATTTATCCAGCCATTCCAACTCTAATTCTTGGTCTTCCAGAACAATCTGGTTCTTTTGTGTATTACCTTTTTCATGTAAGGAGCCCAATGATACAACAACCTTTCGTGCCTCGCCCTTTAGCTCTTCCACTTCGATATCTGCTGTTCTTTTTTTTACAATCTCAGCATAAGATAGTCTGTTAAGACCCTGGTCCTTTCTTAGAGGATATTTACCTTTACTGCTGGCTTTCCTCGTTTACTGGTGGTATTTCTGCCGTACTTGGCTAAACCAACGTTTAATCTCCAGTTATTCTAGTAGTAACAGTCTAAAGCTCTAATAACTGATAATGCTTCTCTCAGATCTTTAAATCGGAAGAACCCAAACTTACTCCTTGGCTTTTTCCATTTCAGAAGAATATAAAAATCCAGAATTCTACCATGTTTCATGATTAGGTCCCACAAATCTCCTTCTCTGCCTTTCGGGTTGATGTTATCATCGAACACCATGACCAATTTGCTTCTCCATATCTCAATGTCACAGATCCACAACTATAACGATTGAAGCGCCACATCCTACCATTTCCTGTCCACTTTCTCGCACTCTTTTTTTCTCTAAAGTTCTCTCCCATCTCTCTTCAATTACTTTAACTAATATCTCAAAGATTGGCTGGAATATGGTTTGGTATTTTTTTTAATTTTTGAATTTGATTTCGTATCAATATATTTTTATATACCCATCGATTGTTGGAATATGAAATTTTGCTTTGCAGTTATGGAAATGACTTTGTATGGATTATGTTTTTGAGAAGGTATATGAATATTAATTTTATCTACATTAGGTAACCTAAAAATATATTTTAGTTTTATCCTCTAGTATGATTATGTTCTAACTTTGTCAATGAGAGTTAATTGTTGGCATGTGGAGATGCATTTTGTGATATCAATACCAGTTTCAAATAGTGATTTTTGTTTATAGTACCATTAGTGATATGCTTATGTCCTATTGTACTAAATATGTTACTTTTGTCCAATTGCACTAAAGGAGTTTATCTGATCTTTATTTCATCCCATTGCACTAACAGATTAATTATGATTGTTCAGTGCAACTATCCAGTTGCTTTTGATATACCTTCATCTCATTGTATTAAAGAAAAAATTTTGATTCTAACCTATACCACAGAGGTTAAATGGGGTTAAAGTATGTTACGGGAGACTAATAAATTTTATGATTTTGTGATGTTTTATTTTACTTTGAAATATGAGATTTTAATTTTGAGATATGGTTTATAAAAATGTGTTTGAACACAAAATCATCTAAAATAGTTTCGAATAATTTAATTACTATTTTGGTCTAAATGTTTTGTGACATGCTTAATCCAACTGAGAGGATGTTAGTTACTTATTGTGTGTTTGTACTCATTCCTTTCTTTAATATTTTTTTACCACTTCAGATTTTGATTATGCTCGTGGGAATCACGAAGAGTGAAGTTTCAAAACTTTAGTTGCTATTATAAGATCTTTAAGATTCTCTTAAATGCTTAGATGTATAAATTTTTATAATTAATTATTTATGACTATAACTAGATATTTCAAGATTTACGAATTTTTTAAATATTTCATTTTTTTGTTAAAAGATACTAAATGTTATGAACTTTTCGTTTTTAGTTACACTTGCCTCATTTAGATTTATAAGTCTTAGTATATTTTTGGCCTTGTATATTTGCAAGATTACATCTTACAAGTGTGCGGCATCTGTTGTGCCTCGATTCGGGGCGTGACAAAATTGACAACTAGTTTACATTAACGGAACTTCAATGGTGAAAAGCTCCAGTCATAATTAATGACAAAACCTTGAGTATGACCCTACTAATTGACAGCAAAAGCTCTAGTGATGGGTAGTTTCTGCCTATTAACTAGAGGTTGCTGATGTTCTCCTAGAGAACATCATAAGTATCTATCCAGCACAAGGGTGAACAAAAATGTAAAAGGGCAATTAAGTAAACTAAATGAAAATACAGATTGCTAGCCGCTGATAAATAGTGCAGAACTCACCATAAAAGAAAAGTCAAGAAGTATCGTGTATTTCTTTCCCCTATACAATTATTCTGCAATAAGTATCACCATCTTAAGTAGACATGAGATTCGGATGCTTTTAACGTGATGTACATAGAACATCTCACTACACAAATTAAAATAAAGAAGAAAAGAGGCAACTCATTGATTGCATAAGCTGCAGTGCTTGGATCTGGTAGGTCTGGATTAATAGAATAATCCCATCACATCTTACAGAATTAAAAAGCCACCAATAAACATGACACCAAACAGTTTACCTGCTTTGGAAGTTTACAAGTCAAGCATTCTTTCCCAAAATATATGATATTGTCATAAGGATAAGCAGATAGATATTGTGAAACATTCTCTGCCTTCACAGTCCCCGGATCAGAAAAGCTAGTCAATAGAAATAGTACAATGCCGATACCAACTGCCAACAAACTTGTATATCTGCAAAAATATACAAAATCTGAGTTTAAAAGAGAAGACGAGCATTTTGAAGGAATCTGGTTACAGCAGAGAATTCACTTCATAGTACATGCTTATGCACTCCACTCAGATAATACCCAGGAATGTAGCTAGAGGACGTCTTCGCTATAATGTAAGAAGTTGCTCCAATTATTGCCAAATATATAATCTGTCACTAAGTGATAGTCAGAGAAAGCCTTGTCCATACTATGAACGAAAAATCCCCCCTTTCTTCAATAAAACAACCCTTAAATACAAGATCATCTTTCTCAATGGTGGATTTAATGTAACGCACTTTTAAACCTAAGGTAGAATATTTGGGCCTCTAAATTATATGTTCTTACCATTTGCAACAGAAACAATTTCTTTCTATACTATTGCGAAGGTTTTGAGCCATAGCAACTGTTGCTTCTGCGTTTACTTGGATGTAGTACTGATTGGTTAAGCTTCATTTTTTTTATTTCTTCTAAATCAGCAGTATACTGTGATAACTTATTTGCTTACATTACTACTAGAAATCCAGTTTTTCACTTCAAGATGAAACATTTAGGCTCCGTTTGTTTCATTGAAATTGTCTTTCAAAAAATATTTTTTGAAAAATGTTTATAATTTTCAAAAAGGTAAAGATTTTATAATATTTGAATTAGTTAATGACAAATATTTTTTATAATTTTAGTTATTTTATAAACATTTATTTCTTTTCTCAAATAATATTAATATAATTATTAAAATATTATAAATTTTTATTATTTAAGTATATTGAAATTATTTATTATTAAAATTATTAATATTTAAGAATAATTATATTTTAATAGTAAATATTTAATATTAAAATATTATATTAATAGAAAAATACTTAAAATAAAACTATTTATTATTCTTTATATTAATATTTTAAATAATTTACTATTCTTAAAATATTATTTTATTAATATTAAAATAATAATATTTATTATTAAAATATTTATACTATTTGAAAGTATCTATTATTAAATCAAAACAAAAATCTTTTTTATTTATATTGATTATTAAAATAATAATATAAATACCTTAATAAATAAAAATATAAAATTATATACTTTAAACTAAAAAATAATAAGATATTATTAAAATATTCATGTTAAGAAAATAATATTATTATATTATTTAACATTAATTATTAAAATAATAAAAATATTGTTATTAATTATTATTTATTATTAAAATAATAATATAATACTAATTATTATTGGCATACTAAAAATATTATTTTAATAATATACAAAATAAAACTATTTCAATTTGAAATATGAAAAGACTTTTATATTTTAATATTTAATCTTTTTAATTAAAATTAAATAAAACGTTTATTAACATAATAATATTTTAAATCGAATCAAATCAAATTCAAACTTAAAATATTATGTTCAAAGTCTTACTTGAGTAAAATTATAAAAATATTTAAAATTAAAGTATTAAAAAATTTTTAATATTAATATTTTAATTTTTTAAGCAAAATTAAAGAAAATATTACTTATTAGTATAATAATATTTTTGGTCGGGTCAAATTAAATTTTAACTTTAAAAAATCAAGTATAAGGTCCAAATTGAATAAAATTACTCTTAAACACATTGACAAATAGTTTTACTCATAGATAACTCTTTTTTCTGAAATTATCTTTCCCTTTTCAAAAGGATAAGATAATTTTCAAAAAAATTATCTTATTTTCTATTGACTAATAAATTATTTTTAATTAATCAATCAATTTTTTACCAAACATATATATAAAAATATAAAAATTATTTTTTTAAAATAACTTTTTGCGAAACAAACGTAAATTGGTTTTGATTACTTCTTTGTTCAAGAAAAAATTTCTCAAAATTAATTGACAGTCCATCACATATCCACAGTTGATCCGCCAGTAAATGTGTTAACAAAGCCCTTTTCCAATGCTTGCTTACAATATATCATTTCCAAGATTGATGTATTAAATGGTTCCACCATCCAATGAATATTGAAGGGAATTTTGAATATAGTTTTACTGATTTATCTGATTTAGTCTTAAATTAACTTTGTTTATCATGTAAATTTATCAGCTTTACACTAGTTTTTTTCTTTTATAAAAAGCTTTACACTAGTTTGATTAGGTTATAAGTATCACTTATCCTTAATCTTGTTTATCATGTAAAATTATAAGATTTACACTAATTTAATTAGGATTATGCTTATCACTTACCCCTTAAACATTTGTATAAATATGTTACATAACTCCATAAAATTAAGGAGTTTTTCAAGTATAACTTCTCTTGTATTTCATTATTTCTTATAAAGCATATCAATGCAAGGAATGGTATTATAATTTAATTAAAGAATATCTCCTTTTAAGCTTCCTCTTTACTCATGAAAGGAAAACCTTGGCAGTCATTGATCTGCCTTCTTTATTTCCAATTCCTCAAACAAAAATTCTCACCATATATCAGTACTAAATCAAAAGTCTGTCAAATGCGTGTATTTTTGCAATAGAAGTCAAACGCAAAAGATGCATCACTTGTCTCTTACTGTCAAATGCTTGTCTTTTTGTAATAGAAGTCAAATGCAAAGGATGTATTCACTTGTCTCGGACTGTCAAATGCGTGTATGTATGCAAAAGATATATCACTAGTCTCTATCTTTGATTTCCGTTCAGTCTTCATTCATCTGTTAAACGTGCTTAGTTGCTTGAAGTTAACGTCAATGTTTTATAGTAAAACTTCTACATTTGACATTTAATTGACTTTTTTCTTTAATTACATCAAATTATAATAACAACCAAAGGATTTTCTTTCTGGTATTAACAAAGTTAAGATCCTTTCATTGACACTAGTAGAATTAAACAAGAGTTTGCAAAAATTACTCGTAATTAAGTTAGAAGTTTAACTTAATAATAATTAAATTTGAAATTTAATTCAATTTATTTATATAATTATTTATAATTTTAAAATTTAAATATCAACACTTATAACATTTTTCTCTATTTCTTTAGGCTAGGGGCCACTTTTGTGCTACAAAGTGAAATTCATAGCAATTAGGATCAAAGAGTTGCTAGGAAATTACACTATTTTTAAGTTGATTAAAACAAATCATCTATGCATGTTGGCTTTTTTACATGTCCAAGAAGCTCCCATTTGAAGAAATACTTAATATGATTAATTTGTTTTAAATTAAATACTTAATATGGTATAAATTTTATCCTCAATTTGAAAAAAGAAAATAAAGGAATAAGGGAAGAAATTTTTTAATTTAATGATTGGTATGTACTATTTTTAACTCAATCATTAAATTAAAATATTTTCTTTCCTTTCGTTTCCTTTTTTTTTTTTTTTTTCTTTCCGAGCAAAGCCTTAAGGTTGATTGTTGTTGTTTGTTGTCTGTTGTCAAACAT